TTATTTTTATTAAACTAATAATTCTTATAAAATAAATAATAATTATTATATATACTTTTTTTAATCTTGAAGAGAAAAGAAACCAGTCCAAGAGGGGAGGGGAAATACCATAATACTTCTTAACAATAAGTGCATCCGTCATCTTGCTCTTTTCATTATATTCAATTGCATTATTAGGTTTTGTGTTGTGCAAGATAGGACATGTGGGAGTTACATATCTTGTTTATATTTTTTGTTATGTGTAGATTTACCAGTCCAAAATTTGAGCCAATTACTATTCAAGAATTCTGGAGTAACTAAAAATTTAGAGTCAAACTGAGATAAGCAAAATTTCCTTAAAAAAAACCAGAAAAAAGTTTACACACTTGAAAGGATAGAAGAGAAGCTGTAGGAAGATGAAAAAAGAGTTCCAAAAACTATACACCAGTCTTTTCTAGAGTCTTTAATCTCTGGAGGAAGAGAAGAGAGTGTTTTTTTTATAGGTTTTTTTTCCTAACAAAGTATTCTTGTCTTTAATTTTGTAGATAGATATTTTTTATATTTACTTGCAAAAATACAAGAAGTTTATATCAAAGAAAGAAAGAAACAAGTAAGGGAGACTATGGCCTCTTGATATGAGTGTTATTAATGAAAGTGTATAGACTTTATTACAAAGAAATGTAAAAATTTCCTTGAAATGTTTGTTTTTGTGTTGGCAAAGGGATCAGCAGAAAAAGTATATATAATAATTATTATTTATTTTATAAGAATTATTAGTTTAATAAAAATAAATATTAAATTTAATAAAATCTATATATTTAATATTAAAATAAAAAAAGTTTTTTAATCAAATTTTTTATAGTTTAAAAATCAAATTTCCAATATAAATTTATCAATAAATTATTTAAAAACTTAATACTTTATTTTCTATATTTGTTAAAAAATTTCTTTTTAAATTTTTATATCAAATAAATAAACAATTGTTTATTTATTATAAAAAATATTTGTTCAAAGACTTTAAATAATTTGTATATAGATATAATAAAAAATAATATTTATTTTTAAAAAAAATAATAATTAAAACTTTTATAAATCAAATTAAATTTATTAATTCCAGAATATAATTTAGATTTATATATTAATAGTAGTATGCAGTATTTAGATTTTCATATATATTATTGCAAATAAGTATTAAATATAAGACTTATTAAATAATGCATTTGCTATTATTATATTAACAATCTTATATATTAAACTAGAATGAAAATTAATTATAGCTACAATATATCTATAAATAATATATATATGTTACTGAAATTTATAAATCTATAACACAACTGATGTTTTTTATATAAAAATTTTTTTCCAATGTTAATTTGAAAATTTTTATTTAAACTAGATTTTGTTAAATAATTATACTGATATTTTTAAATTATCTATGGTTTATTGTAGTATTATAACTCAAATGCAAAATGTACTTTACATTGCTAACGATATAGCATGTACACGTTATAAAATTTTCTAACTTTGATTTTCATTGTAATCGAGATTTTAAGTGTATGAAAAATGTTATCTTAATATTTTACAATAAATAAATGATGGTCGCAGTTAATAGTAAGAGTAAACATGTAATGATTCTGATAAATTAATAGTTATATGAAAAGAAAATTAAACATCTATATTCGGGTCTAATATTTCTCACGAAGTCTAAGAGTTATCTATGGTGAAACAATAAATTTGCCACTGACCACTTGACATTCTACTTCCTGCAATTTGGGGTTGTCAAATACATTCTGGTCTTTTATGTTAGTTTGATCGATTTCTAAAGAAATAGCGCTAAGTAATTGTCCTTTGCACGTGAATTTCACAGCTGCCGGCGCCGGATGAGACATTTGACCAGTTACAAATCGTGCTAACAATTTGTTCTGTTCAGACGGAACAGCAAGATCAAGATCATCAACTTGCCAATACATCATTTGTTTCTCGGTATTCCACAATCCAGTTGGCTTAGATTGTACACTTTCAACTTCTCCAGCAACAGGTATTATAAATGAAAGATCTGTCAATGTGCCTGAAAGTTTGCATTTGTTATTGGCTTGGTACACGATAACGAGAGCCAGTTGATTTGGTTCGCACTTCCAATGTGGCGTTATTTGAAGCGGGATATATGCGTTCGTATTCTCAGAATCAATGTGAAGTTGATATTTCATCACCGCTACCGGAATATCCCCAGCCAGAGACAACATACCAGTATCGATGTCATAGGAACCAACGCTTCCTGGAACTTCACGAAGATATGATTGATTCGGTGCAGATTTTTCAATTACGTCAAAATTATTTATCTTAATCCGAATTGGTGTTGAAATGTCATTCACCGATGGACGATTGTATGAAATGCTTATGTCACCAGTAACAAGGAGTTTTATCTCGCCTCCTCCCCTAGATATTACATTAATTGTCTCTGTTATTGAAACACGCAATCCGTAAGAATGAATTTCCGAATCTGACATTGCCCTCGGATGGCTTATAACTTCTGAAAATTCAGAAATACTCGGTGACGGTAATGTAAAACTTTTTTGTCTTTCGGAACTTCTATGAGAAGAAGCAGACGAGTCAAGATTTGAACCCTCCGAACCATAAATGGTGTTTCGACTGAAACATTTATAATCAATTATTAACTTTTCTGTATGTGAAATAATTTTTAAAAAATGATGGATAATCCTTACTCTCGTCGGCCACGTGGTGTTCGATTTTTAATTGTTGGTGCCTACAGTAAAATCAATGATAAATTCTATTAGAATTAATCCGACGTATCCCGATATGTAATAGACAGACAATATTTTACCGATTTGAGAGCTGTCACCACAAGGGACATTGCAGCAGCATCATCTGCTTCGTTAACTTCGGTACTGATCGGTTTGATCTCTACACGCAAGGTTTTTTCTTGCGAGACAGAAAAACTACATAATAGGATAGACATTAAATATGATATTTGTTTAAAAAAAATAGGATAATTATAGTTATTCAGGATAAGTATCAATTTACCTTCCTGTACCATCGGAAAATGCGTCAGAATCAATGTCATCATTTGAAGTTCGTGGTATTGAATAGCCTTCGGAATCAATGAGAACTTTTGGCTAAAAGAATTGTTAATACTATTATTATTATTATCATTTAGAATAGTAATGCGTCATTTTGATCTATTACCGTTAATTTAATATATTTCTAATACTAGATAAACTCCCATGCAAAATCTTTTTTAAAAAAGATCTTCTGAACTTCCTCGATTGATCATATAAATTTGTAAACTTAAAATATAAATGTATATACAGTAAGGTTCAAACAGATATCTAGAAACTCTAAACGTTTTCATACTTCAATTTGCGGTATATATTATAAATTAATATTACGATTAATGCAAAACCTTGAGTGAAACTTACCACAGAGATCTCAGTAAATGATGAACCTTCATTTGGTGTATTAAAAGCAGTATTTGAAGAACTTTTCAATTCATTGTGTATATCCTCATTATCTATTTTCTGAGGCTGCGTGTTCTCTCTATCAATTGTTTATAATAATATGTTTACATCTTGCAATAAATAAATGAATGAAAAATCAGAAATATTACATACGCAATGTATGAAGACATCTTTCTACGTCTTACTGTTCCAAAAGCAGATCTGAAATGAGAATGAGTTGGTAGAGAAAGATTTAACTCATCCGAAGAATTTCCTATAATGTAATAAAGTTAGTAAAAATTTATTCGATAAAAGAATCCATTTACTTAATGCGTTAAACAATTTGTTAACTAATAGTATGATAAATCAAACCTTCGGTAGCCTTTATCTTTCTAGAACAGAATTCGAAAATTTCATTTTCAGCATCGAATTCCATTATTTTACTCAAATTTCTTTCCGTCATCTATAAAAACGTAATATTATTAAACTGCTAATTACATGAATTTTACATAGCCGGAAAATATTTTGATACCTCTATTCCTTTTTGGAACGATTCAACTTGTAAAGTTTCAAAAAGCATAAGGGCCTCCTTAATATTAACCCATCTTGTAAAATCAACTATCTGTGATTTCTATAAAATAGGAAGAAATATTAGAATGTTATTTCAAATAATAAAGATACTTCTAAAAATTACCTCGAGATATTTCGTCCATTCAGTTTGCCATTCTTCTTTTTTTTGATTAAATGCGTTTTGAGCTTCCGCAAGTTTGCTCTCTAAAAATTTCAGATTCCAGCAATAACATCAAATAAATATTTTGTAATTATCGAGATTACAGAAATAATAACTTAAGAGCGATGTCTACCAGAAGTTTCTGCCTTTTTTCCCGATAGCTTTTCCGTCTTGATCCTTTGCTTTAAAAATAACAATTTATTTTACTCCGAGAATCTTTCAACTATATATAACTGAATTAAATAAAGAGGATCATTACCTTATTCATTTTGGCAAGCCTTTCTTCATATTCTTTTGTTAATTTGCCTATGTTGATTTCTTCCTAACAAGATTTTTGAATTAACTTGAGAATGCAATTACAAAAGAATCAAATGCAAATTTTGCATAAACTTCGTTTACTTGTTTTAATTGTAATAATGTTGGTTCCGTGATCTTCTCGCGCAGAGGGGTCTCAACTTCTTTTGTTACTTTTGTAATGTAATGTGAGCGCATAGTAATTATCTCTTGAAGTTCATTAAATAGCGTATCCCATACACTTTCAAAGGCACTGAGAAAAAAAGTTGAATAAATATTTTTGGAATCTGATGTCAAAACTATTCCAAGATCGAATTAAAAAGCACACCTACCATAAATGCGACCTATCCGTCACGAATGTTTTATTTGCTAAACGTTGAAGACTCTTGACATAATTGTCCTCTATTATCATTCTATTTAAGATGTAACATGTTATTTAATTATTGTGGAATAAGTGGGGGATCAACGAGTTAATGTCAAAGATTACCATTTACCTTTCTTTAAAGTAATCCGCGATTTCTTGATACAGCACTTTTACACCCCTCAACCTATGTTGAATAGCATCAAAAGACTGTTTCGGCTTATCATTCTAGGAGTGGAAAAAAGGCTTTAAAAAAACACGATCTTGCACGGCTTTTTAACAATAATAGAACTTGATTTTGAAATCTACCAGAAAAGCTTGTAAATAAGGTATTCTTAATATATCTGACGAGATCTCTTGGTCGTTTGTGTCAAAGGAAGACCTCAAATCTGATGCCATGTTGAATTAAAAAATTTTAAATTTCCACGAAAAGAAAGAACTATGAAACGTCTGTGCATATAATATATTTGAAAAAGGATCTACACGAAATGTTTAGAAACCATAAATGTATTACGATACTGTACATTTTTTAAATAGGTGCGCGTCTCCTGCTTACCATATATATTCTGGTTTCAAAAAAAACTGGGTAGCACCAATAAAAACGTAAAACAATAATAGTCGTTTTCTTGTTTAAATTGGTTTAGATGATTAATGACGAATACAGTGTCATAAAGAAAATTGAATTATCCTTATTTTTCTTTGGATTATAAAATTAAATACAGTAAATAAAAATAATAAACAAATAATTAAATAATTATTGATTATTGGATTGGATTTAAAGAATATTGTTAGATTTCAAATTAGTTAACAAAGTCATGCTGTAAATGATAGATCCATTCAGATAGAAATTAATTAAAAATTTTCATATCCAAACACCACACCGCATACTATTTATTTTTCATCTAGATTTTTATTTTTGTAATTTGTAAACCATAAATAAAGCAAAATAACATTTTATGTCTTAATAAAATTAAAAATAAATAAAATAAATAACTAAATATACTGTATATATATTTGCAATCAATCAATCAATTTTTTTAATTAATACAACTATTTTTAAATTTTATATTAAAAATTACAATTTAAGAATGATTTGAAAAGTCATTTTTAAAACTACTGTATTTTTATAAAAAAAAAAAACCCCCCAAAAAATTATTATTACATGTAAAAAAAACAATTTGTATTATCAAAATATTCTTTTCAGTTATAATATCCACATACACAACATATTAATTTATGATAAAACAATGGATTATTTTTAAAATATCAAAATATATTTTATGATATGTCAAATGAATTTTAAAATTTAATACGTAATTGTTTTTTTAAAATAATAATAATAGTAATTTTATTTTATACTATATATACTGTATATAAGTTTTATTATAATTAGGTTAATATTTTTAAAATAAGAATCTTAATGTATCAAATTTAATTTTTGAAGTTTTATTAATATAATAATTCATAAAGGATTTGTTAAAATTTTTTATTAATCTACAACGGGATGCATTTCATTAATGTAATTTATAATTCTTAAATAACCGAGCAATTGGTATTTTTAAATACATTAGATAATAACTAAACTTTTGGTTTCTGATTTATAATTTCATTATACATTTTTTATTTTTTAAAGAAAATTTTTTTTTTGGTTTTATTATTATCAAATTATTTTATTTATTTATTTTATTTGAATAATAAATTATTTGTAATTTACAATTATAACAATTATTATTCAATTTTAAATTTTTTTTTGCAGACAATATACCGTTTATAGATTTTGGGGATATAATTTTAGGGTCTTCTCATGTAAAGCATTAAATAGAAATTTCCTACGGAACCATCTTGTTGATTTCGCTTTTTCAATCGAATTGTTTCTGAATCCACGGCGATGGCATCGCTCACGAATCATTTTACAAATATCATTAACAGATATGCACCAATATCCTTGGGCGCAGATTTATCCAATTTTACAAGAAATGAAAGGGTGGCGCTTTCTAAATTGGTTGACGCCGGTAAATTAATCGAGAGGTAATTTCTGAAAGTTTTTTTTGTATTGAAGAAGGCGGATTCTCAATTTGTCTCAATAAAGGGACATCTTTTTTTTAATTGTTCGTTTTCTTCGTTTACTGAAGAATCTATCTTCGTCAAAAATGGAAAGGTAACGAAGCGCTCCATAATCAGCTGCTTAATTCCAATCCACGTGACGAAAAAGCCCTGTTAGTATTTAACTTGTTAAAAGGACCTTGGGATCGTGTTGATGGCCTTGTCTTTCCCAATTTTCCAAACACCCCTCCTCATAAACCTCAGGGGGGGAATTTTTATCCTGAAGACATGACCAAAGAAGAATTTGAATCATGGGTCAAGACACTTCCCGAGGAACAGCAAAGAAAAGCTAAAGGATTCTATCATGTTGTTAGAAGAAGGGAAGAAGATGATGTTGATGGGAAAAAAGGCGAACTGTATTTGAAACCATATTCTGAAGAATACAAGGATTTGTTGAGTGAGGCTTCGGAGTTGTTGAAGGAATCTTCGAAGTTAGTTGATGACAAATCCTTGAGTACATTCTTAAGAACTAGAGCAGATTCATTTTTGAGTAATGAGTATTTGGACAGCGAGGTTGACTGGTTGAAAATTAGCAAAGAGAGTCGTATCGAAGGTAACGAGAAGAGTTATCTTAAATCTTTAAAATCATGTTTGTTTTTTTTTAATATCAAAATTCGTTCGTTTTAGTTACTGTGGGACCTTATGAAGTCTACACTGATGAATTATTTTCCATTAAAAGTGCTTTCGAATTTTACATCCATGCTCGCGATTTTCCGTTTTCCAAGACTTTGGAAAAGTTTTCTTCAAGCTTACAAGAAGTGGAAGATAGTTTGCCAGTACCAGATGAATATAAGAGCAAGGATTTAAAGGCTACACCAATTATCGTGGTGGATCAATTGTTCGCGGCTGGTGATGTGGCAGGTATTGTGATTGCGATTACCTAAGTTTCGAAGTTCTTTAGACCTTCTTGTAAGCTCAACGAATTAAATTTATTGGCAGTACCGATGACCGCCGCTTATAATCTACCCAACGATGTAAAATATTTGTCGCTTCTCATTCGGTTAAACGATCATTTCTTGTTAACATATATTTATGTCATTTAGGAAGAAGCCATTAAACGTGGAGGATCAAAGTTAGTCATCATAAAGAATGTACAAGAAGGTAGTTTTCAAAACCTCGATTTACTTTCTTCTAATCCAAACTTATACTATCGAGAATTATCATTAGGAAAATACCAAAAAATATTGGATCCAATTGCTCATTCCGTAATTGCACCGGATCAACTTCAATATTTGTCATTTGATGCATTCTTTGTAAATATGCATTCTTTTATTCCGTGTTCGGTGAATTGTGAATTAAAATGTGAAATTTACAAATCTTTACCAACAAACGCTAGACGCACGTCCTTCTCCACGAAGTTGCTCACTCTAATGGTCCACATTACACTATTGGCCCTAATCCGGTTACAGTTAGATCGCGCTTGCAAGAATATCATTCTGCAATTGAAGAAGCCAAAGCCGGTATTTATTCCTCATTTTTCTTCTTACGAGATTAAGTGAACTCCAACCAAATACGTTTGTTGGTATGATTAGACATAACCGGTTTATACGCGGCAGCCCATTTGCTAAAGATTGGACTCTTAACTGCCCCTTCTATTGAGCAGTTCTATGTCACTTACCTTGCCTCTGCCTTCAGGTCTATTAGATTTGGAATTAAAGAAGTAGGCAGTTGTTTTTTTTTTTGGTTAACATGAATCAAGTAATTTTCTTTTCAATGACCCACATATTTCTAAGGCCCATGGACTAGGTCAATGCATACAGTTGAACTATATCATTTCTCAAGGTGGATTTGCTTATGATCCCGCCACATCGCGTTTCAACGTAAACTTCTCTTCTATAGCATCAGCGGTATCTAATTTGACTCGTGAAATTTTAATGATGCAAGGGGATGGAGACAAGAACCGTGTCAAAGAATTCATAGATAAGTATGGTGGCATCAAAAAGGAAGTCGAAGAAACTTTGGAAAGGTTGGAAGGAGAAGGAATACCTATTGATGTTAGGCCTCTTTATGAAATTTCCCAAGAGTTAATGAAATATGAATCATAATTATTCCATATTGAGAAGTAAGATTGTATGCGGCTTGAATAAAGGTTAAAACATTATCTGTGAGCAATATTTAAAAAATTAATATTAATAGATCGCCTGACATTATTCATTGAGTAGTCTGTTATTTTTTGATATCATATGACAAATTTATAAGTAGTTTTCACGACTTTCTCATCTCTTCACTTCAACCGTTTCGGAATTTGTTCCATTCTGACAGGCCGCATCGCCATGTGTATAGATCTATCTACTTTCATATACTTCATATCTTTAAACAAATTATCACATCATCTCAGGAAAAATTTTTTGATTTTTTTAGTATTCAATAAAAAGATGCATTTTTTGCTTTGGCAATGAGCAAGCCACCCATGTTCGACGTGTCAATCATGAACGTATCTATAATTATCAGCTGTGTGTTTACATGCCAGTTCACGTCAAGAATTAAAAGATTTGATCACCAAAGAGACTGTAATCTATACTGTCAGAGATATTGTAATTTATTCTTTTCGAATGACCATTTATGTCGCCAATAATTACATGTCAAAGTGTTCCTTCAAAATAATACCGCAGAAAAGGTCTTTTGGACCACGTAATTGATAACCGAAACAGTTTTTGCAAGGTAATTAAGCATATAGAAAAAGGTGATATTATTATTATTTCATTTCTTCTTATTACTCGACAATCTATATCATCATAAAGCCATCATCCGGAACGAACGTTAAACAGGAATTATTTAATGAGTCACATTGTCCTATGTTGTTACTAGGACAAAGTAAAATGGACCAAAAAACGAATGCCAGCCTGCGTCCTTTTCACCCAAACTATAGTAAGATAGTTTAAAAATCCATGCCGACCAATTAATAATATCAAATTCTCGGCATTACATCTGAGAGTTTGATCATTCGTCCAATTTGAAAATTTGAATAACTACGACTGTATATTCATGCAGATAATCACACAAATGACCATTTAAACCTTGACTGGATAACGTTAGTTATATACTACTACATCTATTATAGTACTGCAATTATGATATTATAAATAATTGACGTGTTACTATCTTAGTTATTATACTCGGTTATTATACTCAATTATTATACTCGAGCATTAATAGAAAAACTAGATTGATTATTGTTAGTTAGACTCACGAGTGTGACCATGTGATCAAGTCGCGGTTTCGCAGTTTTTAGTTGGAGACGCGTAAGTGATCATTATTAGGTAATTATTAGATTAGCCAGACTTTTTTTTAAAATATAATTATATATTTTTTAAGCTATAGCTATATGGCCTTTCATCGTCGGATACTTTTCAGACCTCCATATTGGTGGTAATCGGACATGCAAATTGACAGGGCGTCGTATATCGATGAGAAAAGTAGAGAGCGAGAATAGACAAGAATAGGGATTGTTTGTTTGATTATATTTTATCACGCCTCACAAGTACACGGGGAAAACTTTTACTCTAACGTTACGCGATTGCTGATTCGAGGAAACGTCAGACTCACCGTACCGTTTAATGCTAACAATTGATTTTTATATTATCCACTGTATGCTTTATTTTATTTATGGGGTTTTTATTTGAATGTATAATAAATAGTCGTTTATTTGATAAAGTTATTTTTCGTAATTAATCCATAAAATAATTGTTTCGGTAAACAAGGATAAAATTTTTTGAAACTACTATTACCCGGGACTCGAACCTATGCGTCGAGGATTGTCGGTGTAGTGATAGAAACGTCATTGAGCGTGCCTAGCAGCTCGAATGGTTCTTGAATGCCGATAGTCAGAAAGGAGTCATTTGATGTTAAGATGGAATGGTCGTAATCAGAGGTTTATTTTTGTTACATTAGTCATAAATACGGTTTTGTCCTGACATCAACATATGTTACATAGTTATACACCACGCAATACTCGCTAGGAAATATCATACGTGTAAACGGTTCTACTCGATTTTCCATAAATTCGCTTTTACCCAAACATCATCAAATCTCAGTTATTATTTGGTTTGGTGAAGAGCATTTCAAAAAATGTGTAAATTTTCATATTAGAAATAATATCATGGTTCGTATCTTCAAAGAAACATACAACAGACTTACACATATCTTCCTCTTGTATTATTTACAAAATGCTAGTGAGCCTCGAAAAACAGTTTGACCAATTGAACATCTCAGACAGAGACAAGGAAATTAAAATAGCGAAAAAACCAAATTATGGAAAACGAGGACGTGTTATTCAACTGAAAAGCAACTACTTCAAGGTCTCGAAGGTGAATACCTGTTGATTTTCATCTTTGCACAATTGAACGCAATTAAGACATTCTCTTTATTAGTTTCCCAAGGTCCCTATATATCATTACAATTTTGAACACACTCCAAAGACAAATAAAACGACAGTTGAATGTATTTACGTTCGTTTAGCAGAGGAAAATCGGTTTTGTAACTGTCATGCAGTTTTCGATGGTAACAGCGCTATTTACTCGGCAACACCTCTCCCTATTGAAAACGAACGCAAAAAAAATCAGTTCACGGTATTTCACCATTTAAATCTACTTAATTTCGAAAATTTTCAAAAACGTTAAATCAATCTCGATAAATCAGGTGAAACTCACGAAGAGCAATGGCAAGGCCGTTAAGGTCGGCACATACAATGTCACCATCCGATTCATTCAGCTACTAAACTTTGACGAGCTAAAGAAACATATATCCGGCGGAAATTCTTCCCTTAGCGAAGTTGTGAAATGCATAGCGTCTCTGAATACATATATCAACTTCTCTGTTCGCCAAAAATATTTAACTGTTGGTAGAGGCATCTATCCCGATGATTCGCGCGAAAAGTCGATTATTCTATCCGGTGGATTCGAGTTGAAAAAAGGATTCTGTCACTCATTGAGAGCGGGAGAAAGTAAATGCATGATCATTATGTTTCTTATTCCTGCTATTTTTATTTTATCCATTTATTATTTATTATTATTATTTTCTTTTTTTATCGCTTGTTTCATGATAGATTGTTTAGCCATTAATGTGGATGTTTGTGCTAGTGTTTTTTACCTTGGAGGCAAAATTTTGGATGTTGCCTGTACAATCCTTGGAAAGCACAGCAAAGATGAATTTCACCGGGGAATGACTGCAACTGAAATAATGACATTACTCAAGGCATGTATGCACATGTAAATTGATTTTTGGAGGGGACCTCGTCACTTCGTTAACTGAAACGGACAAACTCTTCATATAGTATCTAAGAGGGGTTAAGATCAGATCCCTGCACCGCGAACAACGGAAACCCGTTAATATAGTTAAAGATCTTACCAAAGAATCTGCTAGTCGAATAATTTTTTACTATGAAAAAGAAAAAAGAAAGATTTCGATTGCCGAATACTTTCATCTAACCTATGGCCGAAAGTTGGAGTTTGAAGAATTGCCATGTGTTGCAGTCAACCAAGATGTCTTTCTACCTTTGGAAGTGTGTGAAATACTTAAAGGTAAAATAATCGTTTCGTTCTATTTCGGTGTCTGTGCCTAAATTACGTTTAAATAACTTTGAAAATATAGGCCAGCGATTTGGCGGTACACTCGCCGATACAACACTTGCTGATATGATAAGGCATACATGCATCAAACCAAAGGAAAGATTTAATCGCATCTCCTATTCTGTCAAGGAAGTTTTTCAATATCAAAGAGATCCTTTTTTGAAGTCTATCAACATGAACGTGGAATCTTGCAACATGTTAATTGA